TATATTATATATATGAATATATGAAAAATATATCAAAATGCATGTGGGTACTCAAATGAAAGCTCTTGTTGAGTATAAAATCAGGATGAGCTTAATTCTTAAAAATTATCAATAATTAAGAACTGACCTTGTATCTAGTGAACTATTGACATTTTTAAAGATATAAGCTCACCCCGACATTACACTCATCGAGACCTTTCATTTGAGTACCCACATCAATTTTTCATATATTATATATATATATATATATGTATATATGAAAAATATATCAAAAATGCTTGTGGGTACTCAAACGAAAGCTCTTGAAGAGTATAACATCAAGATGAGCTTATATCTTTAAAAACCTCAATATTTAAGAAAATACAGTGCAATTTAACAATATTCATTATTTAATAACGCAAAATATTATTTTTTAAAAATTTTTATTGTAATTCATATAATTGTATTTACCTTTCTCTGCAGTTGAGCGGCAATAATCCCAAAAATATTCTGTATATCATTCCTCTGAACCCCAGAAGTCAAAGTAATAAAATTATTAATCAAATCAATCATATCCTGATAATTTTTATTATCAATAATATTCCCAATGAACCGATCAATTGTATCAGGATTGCATCCATCATAATCCATAAGATAGTCCATAAATTGATTATGAAATTTAGTTTCAATAAGCTCAAAAATGTCAAAAAAAATCGCATCTTCTTTTTCCTTTTTAGCATCTGAATTAGTTAGTTTACTTTTCAAGCTTTCCGCCTGATCGTACCAATTAATTTGTGACTTAAAGACATCACCCAGGTGGTTAATAGTCGAATCATCAAAATTTTTGCACCACTTGTAAATTTTATTAAAAGACTCTAATATTTTTTCGCGGTTACTGTCGTTGTTTGTTATTGGTCGTGGATGATTAATTACTTCATCTAAGTGATTAATTAACGTCATTATCGCAGTAGTAATTTTATTTAATTCCGGAGTAGTTGCAGTTATTTTTTCCGGTTTTATCATTAATATTAGCATTGCTAAAATTTTTATTAATTGAAAAAAATTCATTTTTTTTTTTCTTTAATCTTACTTTAATACTAGTTTAATGTTAAGTGAAACTTAAAAACTTTCATATAGATTTTAAAATGATATTTAATAACTAATAACTTTTTATATGCTCCAATCAAAGTTCCTCACTATTGTGAAATAAATTTTTTTTTTTTTTATCAATAGTGATAAGAAGCTTAAAAAATACGATATTAATGTCATTAATTAATTTACCAAAAAAAAAAGTGGGTTATAAAAAAAAATTTCGAAATAAGCGTTATGAAAAATTTTTTTATATTTTTAAAGCATTTTTCAAAAAGTATAAATAAAATTTATTAGAAATCAATTTAAAGTATAATTTTAGATTTTTTTTTATTTAATTAAAAAAACAGTAATAATAATAATTATTTCTTTAACTGATATTATTTAATTAAAAAACTATAATGATACTTTTAACGACTTTGTTTTTTTCAAAGATAATTGAATGTAACGCGCTAAAGATATATTAATGATACTTAAGCTAGCTATTAATAGCTATTAACGCCAAGGATGTGTTGTAATGGTCACCTATATCTTTAATTTCTCATCGATCCTATTAATCATTAATGTAATTTTATTAATTATATTGTAAATTGTAGGATGGCTGGTGAGAGGAACAAAGAAGATATTTTTGAACTAACAACCTTGCAGTCACTACGTGACTGCCGTGTGAATTATAAAATTCTGCGTTATTAAATAATGAATTTTGTTAAATTGCACTGTATTTTTTTAAATAATGACGTTTTTAAAGATATAAGCTCATCTTGATGTTATACTCATTAAGAGCTTTCATTTGAGTACCCACACCAATTTTTGATATATTTTTTATATATACATATATATATATATAACATATATTTTAATGATATAAGCTCATCCTGATGTTACACGAATGAAGAGCTTTTATTTGAGTATCCACATGCATTTTTGATATATTTTTCATATATACATATATATAAATATATAAAATATATGAAAAATTGATGTGGGTACTCAAATGAAAGGTCTCGATGAGTGTAATGTCGGAGTGAGCTTATATCTTTAAATATTTCAATAGTTCACAAGATACAAGGTAATTTCTTAATTATTGACATTTTTTAAGATATAAACTCATTTGGAGATTACACTCATTGAGAGCTTTCATTTGAGTACTCACATGCATTTTTGATATATATATATATATATATAAATATAAAAAAAATTGATGTGGGTAATCAAATGAAAGGTCTTGATGAGTGTAACATCAGGATGAGCTTATATCTTTAAAAATGTCAATAGTTCACAAGATACAAGGTCATTTTTTAATTATGTATTTAGAGACAGAGCATTTCTAATGCAGCCTAAATACTTATCTATTTGTGAGAATTATGTTAAACCTTGAAAAATGACAACTCCATGTCTCGACTTTTCCAACGATACCAAATTTAACCATATAAAAACCCATTTTAACATATGAATACACTAGCCAAAAAATTTTGCTTATTCTCTCAATAATATAGATAATTAATCTTACGAATTATTTTTTATAAAGCAATTTATTTCGGCTTGAGGATTGAAGGTATATTTCGAAGACATATATTTAAACGCTATAAAGCCTCCGTAGCTCAATTGGCTCTTATAGAACAATCCTACCCCACCAATTGGTGCTGGCGGATTTGTTATCACTGGTTGTGAATCGAAGAACGGAATTATTGGCAAAATACTTGAATTGCTTGAGTATAATCCGACGGTTAGATCAATGTAATTACGCTGAGAACTGCTTAGTTCTTTAGTTTGACTCTTTATTTCAGCAGAATTTTTAAAGTCTTGTACGTCAATTTTTAATCTGCAATTTAGAATATTAATTTTTTAATTTAAATTAAAAAATAGTTATTAATTTAATTACCTTTGTTCTTTAGAAGTGAATTTAGGTTTGTGCCATTTGTGATTTATCGACGGCCATGATTTAAAATCATCCCACATTTCTGTGCCTCGAACTGCTAAAGTCAGTCGACCATTTAAGATCATAAATTTAACACCTGAAATGTAAAAAAAAAAATTTAATATCAATTTTAAATTATTTAGAAAATCAATTTTTAATATTTTCTAATCTTTGGATATATTTTAGCCTGATCCTTCAAATTATTTTAAGAAGATCCACGCAAAGTAGTCAAATTTTTAAAACTTCCTTAAGATTTGTAAATTCAGTCTACGTAATTAAATTTTAATAATAATTTAATGAGTAAATTTATCGGAAATTTCCTTAAAAATATTATTAATTAATTTTAAGATAACAAAAATATCTACATATTATTTCCCGCATGGAAAATATTTTTTTTGCGCTAAATATATGTGCGCATATAAATGTCTAGAGATATAAAGAAAAAAATTTAACTTGAATCAAGAAAATAATTTTGAAAAATTCAACTTTCTTGATTAGAGTAAAAAAATTCTCAAACTTTCTCAAATTTTTTTTTCAGTGGATGCTTACATATATGTCTACATATATGTAAGCATGTATCTCTGCATATATGTCAGCATCTATGTGAAAAATCATTTTTAATAAGGTTTAATATACCTGTAACAAATTCTCCAAAAGGTACTTGAATATCGTCCAAATTAAATGATTTAACATAATAATTTAGTCTAACAGACTCAATGCCTTTTTCAAGAATTCTTTCTTCGTCAGTTTGCCATTTAACAGTTTTTAAATCAATTGTTTCATTTATAAGCTGTCCTTCTTGAATTTGAATCATTAACCCATTGTTTTTGACCGCGAATCTTATTCCTGTAACAACCCTAAAGGAAAAAAAAAAAAAAAAAAAAAAAAAAAAAAAATTGAACTGCAGATTAAAGCCCTTATTAAAAAAAACAATTTAAAATGCAACTTTTCTCACCAATTATCTGAACTATCAGTTACTTCCTCTCTCAAGCTTACAGTTCGCAAACTCAAATCTTGGTCAGACATTTTGTCGCATGAGCAATGAAAGTTAAGGTCAATACCATAATTATCATTAGAGCACTCTAGTGTCCAATTTGCCAAATTGTTGTTGGTCATTTCTTGCTGGCCAGTGTTAGCACAGTCAACAATTCGATACGAATTTAATTCAAAAATCTGTTATATAAATAAAAAAAAAATTAGATTTATCAATAAGTAATAAGTAATATACAATATGAAAAAATAAAAAATAAGTACCTCTGGGCATCTTTTACTTATAAATAAATTACGATTGCTATCAGTAAGAATCGAATAATCACTACATTCGGATTCTGGCCTGTTAATTTGATTAAATTTTGAGATTTTTAAATTATGATCCAATTTTTGTGACACGTAGTTTTTTATTCGGATATAATTTTCTCCTGCAATAAAAAAAAATTAACATGAGCATTGATGAATATTCCATTAAATAATTGAAATGATTTAGAATTACCTTCTATCCAATTTGGTGGATCACAATTTTTGTAAGATGTGTTCTCTGGTGTGATAAGATAGATTTCTCCGGTTAATGACATTACTAGATTATGTAACAGGTTTGAGTACTCATTGTAATTATACTTTTCCGCGTTAAGAAATGTATCTAAATTAAATTTAAAAAAATTTTTGAGTTAATATTTTCTGTTAAGTTAAAATTCAAAAATTTGCATTAAAATAATTTTAAATTTTGAATTTACATACCATATTTCTTCAAAATTATATGTGAAAATTCAAGATAAACAATCTTAATTGTATAAGCTCTCATAGCAGCAAATAATCCCCGCTTGTACAATCGAAATAATTGATTGCTCAACGGCGTAAGATTACAATTATCATCTTCATTCTATAACCAGTAAATATTATTCAGATTATAATACAGTGAAAAAAAAAATCAGGAAAACGGTTGACCCTAAAAGCCATCCCTGCAACTTTCTGCTCATTCCAAAATTAAGCGGTCAAAATTGCATTTTTCGCGTTTTTGAGCAAAATTCTAATAAAACACAATTTTTTGAATTTTCAAACCGCGATAACTTTTGAATTAATCAACCGATTTTCACGCGGTTGGCGGCATTCGGCGGAGTTTTTGAAGCCTCATAAAGGATCTTTAAGTTTGAATTGATCGAACCAGGACTTTCGAAGTAATTTCAAAAAAACACTGTTTTTGGTTTTCTTTCAATAACGATAACTCATGAACGAATTAACCGATTTCGACCGGACTGGCGGCGATCGACGTGGTTTTTTGATGTTAATAGCTCACTAGTTTTTGGAATTGATCGGCAAAGCCGTTTAAAAGTTATGCCAAAAAAAACATTTGAAAAAAAATTTTTTTGTGGTTTTTTTCAGATTTCTCAAAATCTACCGATCCGAATCGGTCCAAATTGTATTCAATAAGTAAGTTTGGGACTTTAGAACGTCGAGATCTGATGAGAATTCGATTTTTGCAAAACGAGGTAAAATCAATAACTTCCCGATTTTTTTTAATTTTCAATTTTCTTAGCGAGAAGTTAAAAATTGAAATTAAATTTTTTTAATTTATTTTATTGAAAAAAAATTTCACATATAGAAAATTTCAAAAACTACACGTGCAATTTTTCAAAACATTTTTTTAGTTCTAATTTAATTAATAAAAAAACGCCGGCTAATTTTAGTATCATAAAAAAAATTTTTATACTCAAATCAAGATTATAATTTACTTTTTTAAAACCCAAAAGTTCAAAAATACTTACTGCAGACAAAAAACATTTAAAATAGCTCCGGAATATATTTTCAGTAATATTTCTCGTCACTGCAATTTTATTCTGAAGTAACATAGCGTATCCTTGTAAAGCTTCCAAAGACTTTTGGAATGTTTTTTTAACATCAACAGCCAGATGAAGATTACCCAGCTCCTCGAATTTGTATTCACTGTAAATCTTGATATATCTAGCGAATACATTTTTCCAAATTTTCTCAATTTTATCACAAGATTCTAAAAACTCAACCGTTGAAAATTGACACGCTTGCATTTTCAAAGGCTTTAAAATTTCTTCATTTGACATATGTTTATCTTTATTCTCAAATGTCTCGATGTATTTAAACGCATCTTCAATGTAGCCAAATGCTTCAACAAGCCGTCTTTGATTAACTTCATCAGTAATATTCTTCCTTGGCAAACTTATCAAATGAAAAAAAGTTTCTCTCAAATTTTCTGCAATTGCCATCGGGAGAACATTGCTGGGTAAATTATCCGCGAATGATTTTCTTACGAACAAATTATTAATATATTCTTCTTCAAAATTACCGGAAAAAATCGGAGTGATTGTTGAAAAAATAACTTTAAGAAGAAAAAAATATTTTACGTTCATTTCAAACGCGGAATTTTTTTTTAAAAAATCAACAACAAGTCTAATGACCTTAGTAATTGAATTAATGTAATTACATTGGCTTATATACCCGAAAAATCACTAATGATTAACGATATATATTTTTTTATTATTATTAATAATAACTAGCAACCTTACAGTCACTATGTGACTACCGTGACTTGTGAATTATAAATGAATAAAATTTTGGTTTATTGAATAATGAATTTTGTTAAATTGCACTGTACTTTCTTAAATATTGACGTTTTTGAAGATATAAGCTCATCTTGATGTTACACTCGTCGAGATCTTTCATTTGAGTACCCACATCAATTTTTAATATATTTTTCATATAAACATATATATAATATATATTTTAAAGATATAAGCTCATCCTGAGGTTACTTACATCAAGACTTTTCATTTGAGTACCCACATCAATTTTTGATATATTTTTCATATAAACATATATATAATATATATTTTAAAGATATAAGCTCATCCTGAGGTTACTTACATCAAGACTTTTCATTTGAGTACCCACATCAATTTTTAATATATTTTTCATATAAACATATATATAATATATATTTTAAAGATATAAGCTCATCCTGAGGTTACTTACATCAAGACTTTTCATTTGAGTACCCACATCAATTTTTAATATATTTTTCATATAAACATATATATAATATATATTTTAAAGATATAAGCTCATCCTGAGGTTACTTACATCAAGACTTTTCATTTGAGTACCCACATCAATTTTTCATATATTTTATATGAAACAAATGAAAGATCTCGATGAGTGTAATGTCGAGATGAGCTTATATCTTCAAAAATGTCAATATTTTACAAGATACAAGGTCATTTTCTAATTATTGACATTCTTTAAGATATAAGCTCATTTCGATGTATATGGTATTTGTGAAATATATAAATATATGAAATATATGAAAAATTGATGTTGGTACTTAAATGAAAGGTCTCGATGAGTGTAACATCGGGATGAGCTTATATCTTTGAAAATGTCAATAGTTGGGTACTTGATACGAGGTCATTTCTTAATTATGTATCTAGAGATAGTATCCAGATATCTGGAGACAAAATTTTTCTTATTCTCTTAAGAATATAAATTATTAAATTAAATATTTTTGCACTAGACATTTAAATAATTATTGGTACAGTAATTATAATAAATCTGTAAATATTTTTTTAATTAAAAAAATTAATTTTTTTTAAGTAAAAAAATTATTTTTCTATAACGAAGAAAATTCATTTTTTTTTATAAATTCAAACTTGCTCTAAAAAAAAATAAATTTTTATTACTTCAGTTCATTCGAAGGTAAAAGTTCTAATAATATCAATTACAGCAATGGCGCTAATAATAAGTCAAGGTACAATAGAAAAAAAAGAAATAAGCGATAAAAAATGTTTGACCGTGCCACTTTTTTTTATCTTAACAGTTTCGGTAATTAAAAATATATAAATGTTTTAAAAATCCGGTGTTTTGACACTGTAGAAGCTTTTAGTTAATTTGAGTTACACTTTTTCAACATGTACAAACTACTTGTAATTTTTTTAATTGTTAATTACGAATTATCGGGAGTAAATTCTTGTGGTGGTGGATCCACAAAAGTTGAATGTAGCGAATACCAATACGGTCCATATCGAGATCGCTCGAATATTTTAGCCAATCTACCAGATACAATGAAAATTGGACACTGTTCATTTACAGGTAGGTTAATGACGTTAATGCAGTACGCTAAATGAATGGTAACATTGATATAAATTTATCAGGAAGAAAAATTTTAAAATATACCAATAATTTTGTAATTATATGCAGGATTTTCGGCTTAATTTCAGAATAATTAATAATTAATGGTCAATTTTTGGTATTACAGTGAATATATTGGTCGTATAAAATTTTTTAAAAGAAAAGTTGTTTAAAATTTAATTTTATAAAAAAGGGTCTCTTATAATTTTCTCTCAGACTATTGAAGTTTTTAAAAATATAAGCTCATCCCGATGTTGCACTCATCAAGACCTTTCATTTGAGTACCCACATCAATTTTCTATATATATATATATATTGTATATATGTATATGTGAAAAATATATCAAAAATGCATGTGGGTACTCAAATGAAAGCTCTTGATGAGTGTAACATCAGGATGAGCTTATATCTTTAAAAATGTCAATAATTAAGAAATGACCTTGTAT